TATTTTTTGAATAAAAATAAAATAAAAAGTGTTACTTTTTACAAACAAAATTATTTTCTTGAAAGTAGTATGTCATTTTTATTTAAGAAATACTTTATTCTAGAATATTTAATTTGCACGCAATTTGATAAGAAAAAAAATATTTTTTTAAAGTGAAAATCATTAAAAAAAATTGAAATGAGTTTTTTTTTTAATTTTAACAATGTCATCAAAAATGATGCTACATCTACATCACCTTATTAAAGTCAATGAAGCAAAAAAAAATAGGAGATTAACCGGTTTAAAAAAGTAACAGGTTACCATTAGATATAATAAGCATATTTTCAAAGAACGATGACTAACAAAAAAACAGTTTGAAAGAAAATTTTGTAATAAGAAAAAACAAAAATAAAATATTATACAAATAAATTGTTATTTCATATATTTTAATCCTGAGATATATTTTAAAGGCTTAAAAAAGAATTTCTAAAAGTAATTTGTGTGTATGATGAAGGTCTCTCCAATCTCCATGTACAAACTGTATGTTATTACAAAAATATCCTTTACGTTCTCGTAGAAACTTAAATTCATTAACCATAGAAATTTTCAAATCTCCTTTTATGTCATGATATTCGTTTTCCTCACAATATTATTTCATCAAGTAAATGCACCGTTTCATTTGGTAATCAATATATACAATTTAATAAAAATATATCCTTACTCGTGAGTCGTCTTTTTACATATAATTATATAAACAGATTTAATAAAAAATATATATATATTGATTAAAGAATGAATACAAAAGTAATGCATACAATCAAAGAGCTTTTAGCCAAGCGGTATCGTAATCTTTGACCTCCTAAGAAATCAGAAATTCAAACCTCATTAGAAATAAGAAGAATATGTAAGTTTGTTTATTGCATTTACCATATACAAATGGATTTATTTGTCCTTTTCTTTTTTGGGATTTTTTTTTAATTTTTCTTATACTTGTTGAGGTTAGGGGTGTTAGAACTAGGGGTGTTAACAAGAGTTGAATCGAGTCAGATACCAGGTTGTTTGAGTACGACTCGAGACAATAGTAACATGCTCGAGCTTGACTTGAGCTCCACTAACATTTTCAAAACCAGGCTCGAGCTCTAGCTTGCATATGTTTTCTATGTTTCATATCGAAGCTCGTTTAACAAATTAGAGTTATGTATTCTACCTGAAATTCAAGTTTTATATTTATGAGTTTGAACTCGAGATCGAATAACTTGTTTATTTGTTCGAACTTGATTGTATGATTTCCAAACAGAAGAGCATGTTTGACTTGAAATAAATGTATGCTCAAGTCCCTAAACATTCCATTTTATACATCTACTACCAGCATATGCCGCATAAAACTTTTACATTTTGAATTCTATGAACAAATTTACTTTTAATGATAGAGCATTCGTTTTTACTTAGAAACTTTGTCAAAGTATTCAAAAAAAAAAAAAAAAAAAACTCCGATTAGTTTTTTGTTGACTATAGTACTCATTTCGTCTCAAAGTAAATGTCCATGATGAAAAAAAATACACACAATTTAAGAAACGTGAAATTATTGCACTATTGATCGATTAAAAGGCAAATTTACCTATGATAAAGTAGAGCAACGAATTGCTTCATCTAAAAAGTGAATGTACAGTTGAAAAGTAGACACTTATTTTTAGACAAACTAAAATAAAAAAATAGACATTTATTTTAAAACAGAGGAAAGTATTGACTTACCGAATTTAGCACATACACAAATTCATGGTGTTCAATATTTACATTTAGTACTCCACTCTTATATGTATTTTGATACAATCATTTCATTAATATAATGCCATCGCGTATTTGAACCAAAATTACGTTAGGCTCACTTCAAATTTTGGTGGTTGCTAGTTGATCACGTCGATGCTAATAGGGATGAGCATAGGTGGGGTACCCGCCCTTTTTGACAGGAACCGGAACCGGAACCGGAACCGGAACCGGCGGTTCTTGAGATATTGGAACCGGAACCGGTTAGAGCGGTTCTTAAATTTTTGGAACCGGAACCGGAACCGCCGGGAACCGGTTCCGGTTCCGGGTACCCGCTTCCTAAAATATTAAAAATTTGTTATTTAGAAATAAAAAATAAAACATTGTCAAAACACTAAAAATAAGCAATAATACAAATTATACAGAATAATGGTTACAAATATTTATTAACTATTACAAACCATAATAGACTAATAGAAAATGTTCAAAGTTTAACGATTACATACTATAATGGTAAWTRTTCAAAGTTTAACGATTACATACTATGAATCCAAGTGAACACACAATTTCAAAAAATACGAATCATTTTATATGAAGAATTTAGATGAAGATTGAAGATGACGACGTGCTTTTAAGATGTAAACCTAATATAAATTTGGTATTAAAAAATAATTATTATTTTTTATTGAAAAATACCGGGTACCCGGCGGGTAACGGTTCTGAAAAATTGAGAACCGGAACCGGAACCATTCTCAATCGGTTCCGTATTTTAGGAACCGGAACCAATCATATCGGTTCCGGTTCTGGAACCGGCGGTTCCAAGGCGGTTCCGTTGCTATAGCCGGGTACCCGGTTCCGTTGCTCACTCCTAGATGCTAATTTGATGAGCAAATAAATGATATTATGAGAATGAAGTAATTTATAAAATTTTAGGATTATGGAGTTATTTTTCACGTTAATAAAAAGATGAAAGACTATGGAATGTAAGTAAGTACATGAAATGAGAATATATATTTCACATATTTCAAAATTTTTGCTTTTATGGAGTATCAAATATTCACATGTGAAGAAAATTATAACATTGTACGTAATTGATGGTTCGAAGGCTTTCGGGTTTTCATTTTTTTTTATCTAAAAAAGTGTATACAAGAAGATATTACCATTTTTAAATCTTAACGATACTAAATCTAATTCTTTATAAGTAAAATATTTTAATAATAAATACATAAATATACTTAATATACGAAGAAGGGCGGGTAAAAGATCACATTATCCGGCACCAACCCCATCTCTGGTTTTTAACTTTTAGGGATCCATATCCCCATCCTCGATCCCTGATTTTATAGGAATCTCGGACCCCGTCGAGACATACGTGGACTCGGATGTAGAGCTTGAGTAGGGGGTCAAATGGCACCCATAAAGTTTCAAACTATTTGATTTTTTTTATTAACCTGGATATCCAACTCATTATGCGAGTCGACTAATCCCACAACGATCACCTGTTTTGCAGATAGCTTGTAGTCACCGTATTTGAACCTTCGTGACCACAAGGGGATTTTTATTTCGCATTTGATTTTTATATTAGTACATTTCATTTTTTAAATATATATAATGCTTTGACCCCAATAAAAATAGGATTTGACCCCTAAAAAGATTAGCTTAGTTTCATTTACAATAATTTATATAATTTTTTTTTATTAATGGTTATGGTTAAGGTTTATTAGTTGATATTTAATTGTTAATTTTTTTAATTGTAAATTGTCAGGGTTATAATTTGTTAATTAGTTGATGTCTCATTGTTAATTTTTATTCATTGTTAGGGACTTGGATCTCATTTGGTTTGTAGGATTGAATCAAATTTGGAGGGATTTGAAATTGAATTTCATGCCCTTAAACATAAGATTATGAAATCTAAGGGGTGGTTGTGAGATTTCATGCGATTTCATAAGATTTGTATATAGCAATGTTTTAAAATATGTTAAAAAAACATCTGTTTTCTAACAATTAATTAATAGAAAGGGTAATTTAACTATTTTTATACTTATTTATAATTCGTTTTTACAAATTATTTATAAAGAATGAAATTCAATTCTATTAAATCTTACAAACCAAACACGCCAAAAATTTCAAATCCCTCAAATTTCAAATCATTCCACAAAATTCAGATCCCCCAGAACCATTCATTCAAACCAAACACC